CACTGTTCATTTAGTAACACATAAATGCCTTTGTCAGTAGGATAGCTATTTACAAATCCTATATGTGAGGCTCTTCTTTTTGTCGCTTTTTCATGATATCTGACTGAATTACGTATTTCTATAAAATGCAAATGTGCTCTTAGTTACTACTATAACTAGAATGTGAATTGTGTATCCAATGTGTGTTTGCGGGTCTAAACTGATTTTCATGAAAAATGAAACTGACTTTTTTCTGAAGTTAGGTTGATTCTATAGTACGCTAGTTGTGCTATGCATCACATGCTGAAGTATTTAAGGCTACAGCTGTATCTCTACAGAGACTTCTGCTGATCAGCCTTTCTTGTATAGGTTGGAGATATGAATGTCATAAAGATGCTCCTGATGGGGAATGTTGATGTCAATGAAGCCGACTCTGAAGGGAACACAGCACTTCACTGGTGCCTTAGCGGTGCTTCATGTACCAAGGAGCCAAGGTGCACATCTTAGAAATTACATATTCCTATCCATTCTATCATAAGATAGTTGCTTTCTTACATCTTAGTTTTTCTGTCATTGTGCAGGATTGTGTGGCTTCTGCTCAAGAATGGCGCAAGAGTTTTCCAGGGGAACAAATTAGGACTCACACCAGTACACAGCGCTGCAGCTAAGGGCAATTACAAAGCTCTTCAGGTATCCTCTTGCTACTTACTTTTCTAATTACTCTGTTGTGAGTTATGAGAGTGACTAATTGGTTTTATTTTTCTTTGCTTCGAAAGTCACTTCTGCTTCATGCCCAAGATTGTGTTGATATACCTACCAAGACCAAAGAAACCCCATTATTCTTTGCAGTGAAGAATGGTTCTGTGGATTGTGCAAAACTTCTTTTGCGTTTTGGGGCTGATACCAAAGCCCGGAACCTGAGGTGCGTAAATCTTCAGAGGACAGTCAAGTAACCGAATTACAAATGATGAGTTGCAAAATGACAATAGAAAGAATGATTTAGTTTATATAATCTGATGCACTTAACATTCTTCAATTATTTGACATGAACAGAAAGCAAAGACCAATTGACGTGGCAACATCCCAAGACATGCGTTTCATTCTTAGTTCTGCAAATGTGTTACCATGTAAGTTACATACCGATATCTGCTTTCATTTCTTTCTTGTAGTTTATTTGATCTCTGCAGCTGTAATGGACAAGCCCGGAGTTTAATTTGATGGAAGCAATTTAATTAATTAAATTGCATATAGATTGGTTACATTTCTGTTGGTATTACTAAATAACTGTGGACATCTAGAAATTTCCATTTTAACAGAAATGTGTTCTAGCTTCAGGGAACCATAGCTCACCTCAAAAGAATCGTATAATGAGAAAAGAAATTTACAAAGAGCTTCTTGGGGATGAATTTGATGATCTTGATAAGGATTACTGTGATGAAAGGTATGTCTGGTATACACTACATGATATTAGTTTATAACAGCTACTCTACATGATTACTTGAATTATAACATCTTTACTTCTCACCTGTAATTTCTTTAAATTCTGCTGCAGCTACACTGGGCTTAAGACATCAGTAGGCCAACGTGATTTCCGGTCCAGTAATCGTTCTGCACAAGGGCCTAAGAGTAAGAGCCAATATGTTCCAAAACAAGCACAAGGTTCAAAGTTTGTGCCTCGGGTAAGTTAAGCATACATCCCTATATCTGTCAATACTTACTTTTTTTTTGTCAGTTTGCTTCTTACATTACATTATTTTTTAGAACAATCATTGGCCGAAGCATGACTACACTCGCAAAATTTTTGTTGGGGGCCTCCCACCTTCAGTAGACTCTGGTAAAACTTCATAAATGCTGCACTCCATGGTGGCTAACAAATTTAAACCAATACACACTTCTAACTTTCTTTGTTGTTCCTTTTTGACAGAGTACCTTATTGAATTCTTCAATGCTGAATTTGGTCCTGTGGAGGAAGCAGTAGTCATCGGGATACCAATTGGCAACCGAGTTCAGTCTCGAGGTTTTGGCTTTGTAAAATTTGAGAGAGAGGAGGATATGATAAGTGCAAAGGAAGCTCATCATGTTTACATGCTTGGGAAGAGAGTGGAGGTAAAGGATGCTGTTGCTAGAGCATACTTGCCTTTAGAAGATCAAAGATATACTTCTTTGAGGCAATTCACCAAGGAGCGCCCAAAGGTCCACAGGGTGCTGGATGGTGAACTGACTGAGGAACACAGCCTCCAGAAGCGGCGACCATTTCCAGAAAAGTGCCTTCCATCTTGGTTCTTTATATTCAGGAAGTGGTTGCCAGGATTTCTTGAGGATGAAACAGCACGACTTGGAGGAGAGAGGTATCCGTTGAGCTCTCTGAAGAGTGATTTCAGAGCAACTTGCAGGATGGAGCTTGATCACACCGCACTTGGTTATCCTAAGCTAAGTGACTTTATGCGCTCCCTCCCTGGCATCTGCAGAATGTGTGTAGTTCCTGTTGGAAGTGGACCTGCAACGCACATGGTCCTCCTTCCACCACTCTCACGACCAAAGTATGTACCCTTGCTAGAGCCTTGCTCCTTTGATCATGACGAGCTTGCAGAATCAGTGTCAGATCATCACTCCCCAAGATCACCACTCAATGCCAACATCGCGGATGACTCCCCACATAACACTGACAGCCAGCAGGGTGATGATGCATGCAGTGAGACCAATGTTCAGATCCAGCAAGTTGATGATGCATGCAGTGAGACTTGTGTTCAGAGTCAGCATGGCCATGAGAGCAGCAGGAGCAGTGCTGAAAGCCAGCAGGATGGAAGTTCCTCTGACAATGGTAGCTTACTGGACGATATTCCTGTCAGTACTACAAAGCTTGATCTGATTGAGTCTGTAACTTCAGTAAAGCCTGCTCTGATTGAATCTGTACCTCCAAGAAAGCCTGATTTGGTTGAGTGTGTACCTGCAAGGCCCAGTTTGATTGAGTCTGGGTTTCTTCCTCAAAAGAATGAATCCGGACCTATACCGAAGCCTAGTTTGCTTGAGTTTGGACCTTCAAGAAAGCTTGAGTTGATTGAGTCCAGGCCTTCAGCATGCTTCATTGATCGTCCTTTTGAAAGGCCAGCAGTTACTCCCAGCAGCTGCGAGGGTGAAATGAGATTCTCTTTCTTCCAGTCTCAGTGGGACAAGTACCTGGTAAGGGCTGCCTGCTTGCAAACTTACAATGTTTATTATGTTGGTTATGCTCAGAATAATGTTGTACTAATATTGTTGTTTGTACTTCAGACTCCATATCCCAGGAGTGACTGCTGCATCATATGTCGATCTTGTGAAGCTGGGATGCAGCTTGTCCCCTGCCTTCATAAGATCTGTGTTGCCTGCATGATGAGGTGCAATGTCAGAGCATGTATGGTTTGTGGCACTTCTGTAAGTGGAGTCAAGTCATCCCCTGCAGTGGATGCAACATACAGATACATGGTAATGAATATTCTTCAAACAATTAGAATTGCCTTTGACGCCCTCTTGTCAAGAAATAGTTTATATCATTTGTAGATTGTTTGAAATTTTGTTTCTACATGAGTTGGATTGGTCTTGACCAGTTGATGAATTTGCAGGGACTCACAGAGCGCGCTTTAGATCAAAGGTGCCAGTTGATGGTTGTCTGCCGTGGAGCTGAGGCAATCGTCAGATGCTCACCATGTATGCACACCATCGCTTGCCGGGGATGCTTCCTTGCCTCAGTGACACTACTGAAGTCCTGCACCACCTGTGGCTTCATGGTTGAGCACTTCAAGATCGTTTGACAACACTTACCTCCCTAATACACAGTAGTATTACTAAGCAAACTAAGGTATAGAATAAAGCAAGCAGTCCTACAACCTGAAGGAGAGATCTGATATGCTCTCGTTCGGTTTTGCCACACTTGTGGGATGCGCTAACAGGCTATTTTGGCAGTAGTATAGGCGCCCTCGCTCTTTGTGAGCCTGAGGTGCTCTCTTTTGCTCCCTTCTGTTCTTCCTTAGAAACACCTTGTCAGACATGCTCGATTTGTCTGCTATTGCTAGTTCTGCTTCTGTGAGCTTGTTATGGTCTGGCACTGGCAAGCTCTCAGTAATATACCATGTAAAGCCCCTCGTCTCTGTTATGGCACTTTTCTCAGTAAACCTGTGTAAGTAGTTTCTAAGTACTACTAGTATCTAAGATAAGATGGATGTTTTAAGCTTCACCTCTGGGGTTGTGGTGCTTACAATACCCTCCTTATAATATGTTCCTGATGTCTAAATTTGGCATTTTTTGCCTCTTCCTGCTTCAATTCTGGGGTTGCGGTGCTTACAATTCCCTCCTTTTACTATGTCCCTGATGTCTAAATTTGTTATGTTTGGCTCTTCTTTTTCTTATGGTTAAGTTGAATCAAAGTTTGTTGCTGGATGACATTTATAGTATGTTGCATTTTCAAAATGCACCCAGCTAGTTCCAGTTATCAGGCGATTTAAAATCTGCATTTTGTTCAGTTATGTTTGGTCTGCGTTGCACTGTATCACTTATGCTTCAGAATCATATAGTTGTTTATATGGTTCACTTTTTTGTGCAGCCTGCGAACCATTTTCATTTTCATCAATTTGTTATGATGCTTTAATTACTGTTGAATCTACGAAGCTATATTTGAATGACTTTGATTTTGACTTTTGTGGACATTGCCAGAATGTGATGTGGGCTCTTTGGAAAGAAGAGTTTCAACATGTTACCTATTATTTCCTGTTGGGACTTGCAAACAGAGACCTATATGAAAAGTTGAAACCTTTAAAAAAAAATTTAATTTATGGTGAAATCAGAGAAGCTTTGTCTATGGATAAAAGGAAGTGATGGTTCTGTTTCTATTTATGATCTAAAAAGGAAATGGCGACGGTCAACAGTAACTTGATGATGGTAAACAGTATACAGCAGGCCAAAGTAACTTCATCTCTTTGCCTAGCTATTCAGAATAAAAGCAAGAACAGTGTGCACCAGCCATGAGGGATTGAGCAAGCAGCACAAGATCACCGCATGTCAAAATAGCCATCCCACCGGCGCAGGTCATCGTCGTCCGGCCGTGGAGGCAGCCCCCGCTTTATACTGTTGACCCTCCTGATTAAGCCATCGATGGCCACATCAAAGGCGTCCCTGAACTGCACACCCGTGGAGGGAGCCCTCGGGTCCCTGTACACGATGCCGGGTATCATCTGGATCACCTGCTCCCTCATCGCCGCCACTTCTGCCGGGCCGAACCGCCGGAGCGCGTCCTCCACGCGCACGGTGCCGTTGCGCACGCTGTCCCCCGGCACGAACACGGAGTACCTGGTGTGGTCGGCCGGCAGGTGCCACCTGTACTGCGTGTAAGCTGAGCCCGGGTGGAAGAACACCGGCACGCAGCCGGCGAGCATGGCGTCGAACGCCGACCGCCGCGTGTACGAGTCCCCCGGCGGCTGCAGGCAGAAGGCCGCGCTCTTGAGATGGTGCATGACGTTGCCGGGGGCGTAGCAGTCCCTGCGCCGCCCGCGGCCGCACTGCAGGAGCCCGCACCGCCGGGACCGCGCGCACTGGTCGATCACGCTGTCGCGCAGGGTGCCGCTGCTGCCCTCGCCGGGCCGCCGCGCGCCGACGAACGCGAACAGCCAGGGGCGTCGCGCGCGACGGAGTGTCCGCTGCTAGGAGGCCACCTCGGCGGCGCGCGACGGGTGGAGGTAGGTCGGGTACGGCACGCCCACGTCGCCCACGTGCCACGGGCCGGACTCGAGCACGAGCGCCGTCATGTTCCTCGCCTCCGGGAGGAACAGCAGGTGGCTGCCCCACTCGCCGCCGTCCTCGCGCTGGAAGTCCCACGCGATGCGGCCGCCGACGAGGAAGTGGTCACGCCCGCCGTGCGCCGCCCACGCGGGCGACGACCGGAGCCAGCCAACGAGGTCCTCGGCGAGGGCGTCGCGCACGTCGTTGCTGAACCCCCACAGGTGCCGGCCGACGTCGAGCCCCGCGTAGTAGGGCACGTAGACGGCGGCGGCGCGGGAGGCGTCGGTGGTGAGGCAGCCGTACTGCCGCATCCGGTTGTGGAAGATGACCTCGAGGGTGAACTGGTTCGTGTCGTACCAGCCCGTGGGCGGGAGCACGCCGCCGGTGCGCGTCAGCCGCGGGCCCATGCCGGCGTTGGCGACGTGCCTGCACATGTCCGTCCACTCCGATAGTGACCGGCAGTCGCGGAGTAGGTCGGCGTTGAACCGGCTTGGCAGGTCCTGGACGTAGATGTACCGGCCGGCGCACCTGTCGGCCACGGCTGCCGGCTTCTTCTGCGCCCTCGCCAATCGTTGATCAGACGGCTGCGGCAGCGGCGGCGAAGGTGGAATCTTTGTTCTTGATTGCCGCACTGGCGGCGGCGGTGACGACGCGTCAAGGATCTGTTCACGCTCCGGCGGCAGCGGTTGCGAAGGTCGTGCTCTTGGTCGGCGTTCCAGAGGCGGCGGAGACGTTTCAATGGTCTCTTCGCTCTCCGGCGCCGCTGGAGGCGACGACGGTGGCGTTTTTGTTCTCGCTAGACGCTCCGGCGGCGGCGGTGACGCGTGTACGACATCTCCACGCTCGGCCACCGGCGGCGTGCCCCGACGCTCCATCGCGCCCACGGTCTCCCCAACGCTCACGTGGAAACTCTGGCGGTGGCCCGCATCGAGCTCGGGCGTCGGAGGCGAGAAGACGAGGAGCATCCACACGACGCAGCACACTGGGATGGTGAGCGGCAGGAGCCACCTGCCGGCCCGGAGCACCGCCGATGCTTGCACGCCCGCCATCGCGCGTGACCTCACCGTCGAGCCGCCGGAGAAGGTGCAGAACGAACGCTTACTACACGTTGCCGAACATGGATCCGCGGTGGCCGCTCCAACTTCAATCCATGGCGCCGCTGGCTGCCGATCGCCACCAGCGCATCGAGCGATCGCCGCTGATACTGGATCGGCGACGCGGATCCTCCTCGATTCTTTTGCATTCTTGATGATTGTGATTCTGCCAAGGATGTTTCCATCTTCTCTATTTCCATCCACAGACGCTCCGGCGGCTTAATTTGCCACGGCGGTTAATTAGCGCGTGGCCGGCACTGCTAATTATGGAATCTAATTGAATCTCGTGCATGCAGTACAACTGGTGCTGTTTTCCCCTAAGATTATGCCTGATTGTGGTTTTGATTGTTTCTGAATCTGTTCATCATTCTTTAGTTTTGATTGTTTCCGAATTTGTTCATCATTCTTTAGTTTTGATTGTTTCCGAATCTGTTCATCATTCTTGTTAGAAAAAGGAGGTTTCCCAGCTTTACTTCAGTGTGAAACAAAGCAGTTCATCTGTTCATCATTCTGAATTTCAGAATCTATCAAAAGCACTTCTCAGTTTGACAGTTTCAACTACCAAAGTTCAGCTGCGAGTCTTGTTTTTTAAAAGATCATTCATGGTCGTTCGATACAACAATATGGAATTATTACTAAAAAAAAGATACAACAATTTGGAATGGAGCATATCTGATGATACACACTTGGTGGCTTCAGAACCTGCTTGTGCAGCTGAATTCAAAGGGTGGAGTATTTTCGTAGTGCCACACAACAGCAGGAGCGCAGAACATGCAACACAGGCATTTTGGAACTGAATGAATAATTCAGGCATCAACATAGCACAATGTGGAGTTCGATATTGCTTCAATCTTCAGTCATCAGTCAGCAAACAGAAGTACAAAACGACAAGAGATTCAGACCCCGAAACATCAGAGTAAGTTCTAATAAGAAGCGTGGAGTTCATGTGAGTAACACACTAGTCATGCTGCTGCTAGTTATCATGACATATTTATACAGAACCAAAAGAAGCTCAGAACTTCATTCCCAGTTATTTGTTAAATCCTCAGAGGGTTAATAAGCAGCAGCACACGAACTGCCATTCATCCTGCACGTTAAGAGAGAAGCATGAGCTCAGATGCAGAAAAATGTACAGCATCATAACAGCACGTGATTCTTGAAAATTTATTTTAAAATTAAATAAACTTTTTTTTCAGAGAAAATAGACTTAACGGTGGATCCAAGGGTTCTGCATCTTACAGAGAAGGAAACATGATTTTCTGCGCGACTCATTTTGCTTTGGACAAAGGAAAAGTTCCGGCTTCATACCTCTTCAAAGAAGAGGCATCAGTTAAAAAACTACAACTCAAGATGCAACCAAGAAAATGTTCAACATTGTTGACTAATACGAAAACTAAAAGGCTATCCATGGGAGCTGTGCGACTCTTTAGAGTCTTAACAACCATGTGGCAGATAACGTGTGACATTCAAATCATATAGATTCCAGTTCTGCCACTCCCTAGAATTATTTTCAACGATCCGAGAACTAGTCACACAAAAACTAGCATCTCTGCTGAATTGAATACCTAACATATATGTACTGAGTGTCAAACAAACTAAATTGCATATGAATCAATAAATCAAATGAAATTCTGTAACACCCTCAAATTTGCTACTTTGGAAATGTAGTTAAATTGATTTAATCTTGAATTTTTGTGCTCATGAAATATTAGAAAAATAATATTTTTCATTATAATAAAATTCATCATAAGGAGTAGCAATATGGTTGTGCATACATGCCGATGCATTTGATTTATTTGGTTGAGTGGTTTGAATCAAGATTCAAAATGGTTTGAATTGCTTTTGGAAATAAATTTGAAAATGCTTTAAAGTAAAAGAAAAGAAAGAGAATTGGAAAATAAAAGAGTTTTAAAAGTTGCAAAGTTTATTTTTGAAAACCTACCAAAAGTTCTTATACTATTTCGAATTGAAAGTATATTTGAAACAATATTTGAATTGGATCATATTTGAATTTGGATTGAAAAAAGAAAAATAGAAAAGGTTTGGAAAATGGAAAAAAATATTTCTACCGCAATCTGGCCCGAAAGCCTGCTCCTCTCCCTCATTCCTTCGCAGCCCAGCAGCGCCAGCGCCCCGCGGCCTGTCTCCTCTCCTCCCTTTCTCCTTCTTGGGCCGGCCCAGCAGCCGCACAGGCCGCATCCTCGCCCCTCTCCGCACTCAGTCTCTCTGTCCGCCCGGCCCCACGCCTTGAGCCGCTGACGTCCTAGACCCACCTGTCAGCGCCATCCCCTACCTCGAGTCGTCGTTGCGCCGGACTCTGCCGCCGCCAGGACTCCGTCGCCGCCCCTGTCTTCGCCGGTTGCCATGCGCGCCAAGCTCCCCACCTCCATAAATATCGAGCCGCCGCCTCCGCCTCGCTCCCTTGTGACGCTACCTCGAGCCCTAGCGCCCTCCTGCCGCGTTTTGGATCTCTCCGACGCGAGGTCGAAGCCGCCGCCGTCGCGTGCCCGACGATGGAAGTCGCTGCGCCGTCTCCAAGCGCTTGCCGCCTTCGACACCAGGTGACGAAGCTTTCTAGCCTAGCCTCTTGCTCTCCATGCCCTGTTAACCGCCGCCGATCCTTCGCAGGGAGCCATCGTCCGCTCCAACGAGCCCTGTGTCGTCTCCGTGCTGTCCTCGTCCGCGATTTAGCCCCTAGGTGAGTTCGCCGTGCCCCTCTCTCCCGGTGCCTTCCCCATGTCGTAACATGGCCCGTAGGCGTTTCCCCGTGCACGCCGGCGAGCTCCTCGCCGCCGTTAATGGCCACCACCACGCCAGAGTCACTGTGCTGGCCGGAGAAATCCTCCCAACCCTCGGTAGCCGTCCATCTTTGATCCAACGGCCAAGATTAGAAGATACCCCTTCGTAGACAATTTTGCTAAAGAGTCCTCCAAGTTTTTAAGTATATAACCCGCCATCCCTACAGTTTTGCTAAAGACCCCCTGCATTTTCTTGGATTTGAAACCGTAGTCCTTGGCCGGTTTAAAATCAGATTTTATTTATTTTAAATTTCGAAAATCAAGTTCCATCTATTTACAAAATTGTCACTATCTTCATTAGGCCATATCTTCTCTGTTTTAACTCCGATTAGACCCATTCAAGTTGCGTTAGATTCGTAATTGAGTAATCTACGTGTTCATCCTACTGTTAAATATATTTTCAAGTTTTGAAATTCGAGGTTAGATTTAATCTATTGTTTTATTAAAGGAAATCTTGTTTAATTCATAACTTTTTCGTTATAGCTCCGATTAGAGTGTTTTTCGCGTCTGTGTGTTCGTAGCGAGATGTAGATTCGTTTTACAAACTTTTCGTCTTGATTTTATGTTTGGTGTACTGTTCTAATTTAGATCTATTGTTTGCTTCGTGTATGAGATTGCATGGATGCTTGTGTGGTGCTTTATGGTCATGTCCAGTCGGTGAGCTTTGCGTTTATGGGGGTATGACCCCTGTACCCACAGGACAAGACATGGGCCGCACCATCAGAGATGGCCCAGCCCACAAGATCAAGGCGTGCGACGCACGGTACTGGTCGGCGTGCACCGCAAGGCTACAATAAGATATTGTGATACTAAATAGGATATTTTCCTTGTAACCCTACCCCTCTAGAGTATATAAGGAGGGGCAGGGGTCCCCTAGACGGCAGATCTGATCACATGCAATATCATACGATAGCCAATACAAACCAACAGACCACAGGAATAGGGTATTATGTCGTGCAGACGGCCCGAACCTGTCTAACTCTTGTGTCTTTGTTGTCTTCTTGTTCTTGAATACGCGCACATCTGCCGATCAATCTACCTTCGTGGGATACCCCTTATAGGATTGCCAACGATATTCCGTCGACAGTTGGCGCGCCAGGTAGGGGTGTGCGTGTTGTTTCCATGACGAACAAGATGGTACACTTTTTAGGCTCTTCGGCCTCTCAAAAGCCTGGCCAGATCTTTACGGTCGAATCGATCTCCTGGGTCATCAATGCTGACGGAGATGGAGAGATCTTCAAGCCGGTGCAGCTCGATTGTGCGCCGACCACACCAACGCCTGCAACAGCAGATCCGATCTCGAAACCGCCTCCGAGGTCATCTTCACCAACAACTCGCCGCCTGTTGCCCCGCTACTCGAGGAAGTAGGTCGGCAACGACGATCTGATCGCATCCATCGATCAGGTCGGCTAGAAGCTCGCCGACTACTCTCTCTCACGAAATTAGCTCTGACCACTCCGGTTCGGCGCCGACCACCTTCCAATTCCGATCTATCGGAAGCCGAACGGAAAACTCTAGGGGATACGGCCACCATCCATCAGGATGCCCTAAGGGACAAATTCGTCGATCAGATAACGCCATACACCACCGACCAGACGTTCTGTCTAAAACTAAGTCATGCTTTATTATTTTTCTAAATATTTCATATATCTCCCAATGTTTCTCCGAGTTGTTTTCTCCATACTTATTCTCCAAACGGCTTTTTTCTCCGTGTATACCATCTTGAAGATGACATACGCTTTCGACTCAGCAAATCCCCGAACAGTCATGTTGATGCTCGGATGTTCTCAGAGACGGCTCTGTCTCCGTCTTCTCCCTACACGTGCACGAGCGCCTGCCCTCTACGTTAGGGGTGGTCGGCAGCGACGCCATGCTTTTCCTACACGCACACGGGCCTCAAGCTCCGCGTTATGGTTAATGAGCTAGTTAGGGTGGAGACTCGACCTACACACTAAGCGGTCGGGACGGTTTATATTAAATATAAACACATCTTGTAATAACACTAAGTGTTCACACCAATCGACGCCTAAGCGCAGACACGCTATTTCATCACCGTTGTTGATTCTTCTCCGAGTTCATATATTTTATTTTACATCATGTACTACCCATTCTACACATTTGTTTCGCAGTAGGCACGGTTCGGTCAACGAGCTTACGCTCAGGGACTGGACAAGATGATCATCGTCCGGGTGGTCGGACCACCTATCGGACGGACTTCACTGCCAACCAACTGGTCAGACTGCTCGGCACTCACTCCTACACGGCGTTCACTTCGCTGCCGACCAGTTGGTTGGACTGCTCATCGCATGGGCTTCATCGTCAGCTACGTTGGGAACTCCTCGGTGTTCGGATTCTTTATGCAAGCGTCGCCAGCTAAGCTGGGGACTCCCTTGGTGGTCGGATCTTGCTACGTCTCATCGGTGTGCTATCAAGTTGCTCCATGCTGTTCGGATCAGGGTGTTGATCTTGGACAGCACGTCCGGGGTCTTGTGAAGTACATGGCAGATGACGTTGGCAAGCTTTCATTAAAAATTCTTTGACCCTGCTACAAGATATTTTCAAAATCTTCCAGCAAGCTCGGAGACTACATGTGTACATGTCATCTCGCGATCACTGTATTTATTTCTACACTGGTTTCCAGCGACATTGGGGACTGGGCCAGCACCTGAGGACTACTACTTTGGACCCTGGCACCACGTGACTACTTCACCTACTGCCAGGCTCGGTGACTAAGTGGGCATACTTCACCTCGCGGTGAATGTGCTTATCTTTCGACTTAATCTTCTACAAAGTGACTAAATTCCTCCGCGCTGACTAAAGTCAAGGACGCTAAGCGTCTAACTTCGACGTCCGGAACCTAAGTGGGCTCACTTCATCCAAGATGGAGACTTCAATATTTTTTATCATGAGCCCCTTACATCCTTCTGGCAAACCTCAGCTTCGAGTAAGTCTGGACTTGCTCACAGTTGAACTGCTCGGACACCGTCCCCACTGCTTGGACAACAGCTCGGATGACAGTTCAACTGCTTGGACGCATGTTCAACTGCTCGGATACTCGCTTCAACAGCTCGGCTCCCAGTTAAACTAGTTGGACACCTGTTCCTGATGATCAGAAGCAAGTTGGACAGCTCGGACAAGCTCAAGACAGTGTTGCTCAGCGGATACAAAGCGTTCGGCGACTAGCTATGGGGGTATGACCCCTGGTACCCACAGGACAAGACATGGACCGCACCATCAGAGGTGGCTCAGCCCACAAGATCAAGGCATGCGGCACACGGTACTGGTCGACGTGCACCGCAAGGCTACAATAAGATATTGTAATACCAAATAGTATATTTTACTTATAACGCTATCCCTCCAGAGTATATAAGGAGAGGCAGGGGTCCCCTAGACGGTAGATCTGATCACACGCAATATCATACGATAGCCAATACAAACCAACAGACCACAGGAGTAGGGTATTACGTCGTGCAGACGACCCGAACCTGTCTAACTCTTGTGTCTACTGATCAATCTACCTTCGTGGGATACCCCTCGGAGAACTGCCGACAATATTCTGTCGACAGCGTTGGTGATATAAAAGAAGTTGGTGATCCAGAAGAAGTCCTTTAGAGGTTACAATTCAATAGAAGAAGGATTTGAGTTTAAGGCAAGTATAGCATGGGATCTTCCTTGTTGTCCTATACACCTTTAATCATTTAATTCATACTGCATGTGTCTACCTTGACTGCCACTAAGAATTTTCTAGTGCTTTGTTACCTTGTGCCTTGTTATCTTTTGGTTATTGCATTGGGTAGTATGATGATCGTGCTCAATTAAAGACCATGATCTTGTAACTTGATTAATGGTATATGCAATAAACATTAAAAAATGTTTTTTAGCAACATGGAACAAGGGGGCTAGAGCATTGGGCTATTTTATGGTGCTCTAGATTCCTCTTCCTAAGGACTTATCTGTAAGTGATCATCCGGGACTTACAGTACAACTGTGAGGGCTATATGGCTCTGGCTTTAGCTCAAGATGAGGATATTTTCTAGCTTGTTAGTGGTTACCTTTATGGCGTAAGAATGGCTTGACCAATCGGGTATAAAGACACCTCTACTCTTATGTGTATAGCCGTGATAGAATTGTGCCATTCGGCTGGGAGGTTCCTATATCTGTTTGCCAAGTGAATTTAATGGCCCTAACTTGTTAGACGAACCTTTGAAAGGCTTCATAGTGAACCCTGCCGACCATCCTTGGAAGTGGGTCAAGAGATTAACTACCTCGGATGAAAGGGTAAATCACGACTCACAGTGAAAGTGTACAACCTCTGCAGAGTATAAAACTGGTATATCAGTCGTGCTCACGGTCACGAGTGACCTTAGAACCCTTACGGAATAGATGATGAACACTGATGATACTGATGATAAAGATAATCACTAATGACTACTGTTTATGCTATTAATTATTCATGTTTACCTAATCATGTGTTTATATGGACTTGTGAATAAACTTGTTGTCATCCTATTGCTAAAATCATGACTCATTAAAAGCTAATCGCAGTTAACCAGTGTCAGCCTTTTGAGCCTCATGAACCCCATGTTATATTTGTTGAGTACGACATGTATTTACGCTTGCTTTATTTTTCACATATTTGGAAAAAAAATCCCGGATGGGTACCAGATTGCTAGAGTTTAGAGAAATTAGGCTTATGATCAACCAGTCAGTTGTCCCTGTGGAATTGAAGTCTTCACCTGAAGATCGAAGTTGTCTTTCCACTGTCTGCTGTCAAAGGTTATATCATTTATATTAAGTACGTTATATATTGAGCATTGTCTTTCGATATTACCCTTATTTGTAGCTATATGTGAGATTTGACTTCCTGGGCTCACATATGGTGTCTATCTGGTTTTGTTCTTAAAACCGGGTGCTACAAATTCCATCTTGATTCTAAAATGGTTGAGGACAAGCTAATGCTTGAGTCAGAAGCAGCGATACACTAACAAATGTCATTCCCATAATGAAAATATGCTAAGATTATTATTTATTAAGCCGTGAGTTCGTGACAATGCTCATACCAAATAATATATAATTAGTAATATGTGTCCATATAATTCCTGACATTATACCTAACCTGCGAGACTTGCGACGGCGGATGATGGTGGGTTGTTTCACTTGATCAAGAAGGTAGTCAATGCATTCTCCAAGAGTAGCCTTCCTCCCTTCCTTGTAGTTCCAAAGATCACAGGCTAATGTCCCATCAAAGTCATACTCTTTCCTCTCCACCAGTGTATCAACAACAGACTTGTAGGGGCCTTCCCCCCATTCCCTCCTCTAACTTTTGCAGCTTCTCATCATTAACACATATTACCTCATCCTAATCACAAAAAAGGTGGGTAAGTGTATCTTATTAGGATTGCCAACACATAACTACACAAGGTCACAAGCTACAAAGTAACAGATGCTATTGACAAATGACCTACCTGATAATCGCTGCCAACTGCACCTATCATGGAGGGCTTCCAGCTTGGGTCATCGAGCAGTTTCTCCCATGTGGAGTACAATTTAGAGGCTGCCACTTCAGCTTCTTTAGGAGGCAGCTTTGCAGCGCAAGCAGCTTGGAATGGCTTCTCATTTAATTTCCCAATTTCTTTCACCCCAAGGTTACGTGGACCCGCAAGTTCCATGAATCCCTAACATACAGAAACCATATATCAATGTATCATCAGCTCATCTGATCATGGACACGACTAATATTAGCTATGAGCTATTAGTTAGCTAACTATTAGCAGTTAATGGATCCAAACAGGGTCTTAGTAATGCAAGTCAAAAGACCATGGGCAAACCTTGATAAGTTTTTCTCTCAGCACCTCCAAGTTATCATCCTTGCTTGTGCAATGGCCACTGAACTTCCGTTTCTTCTGCTGCATGGATCTTGTCTGCCGCTGCTTTCACAATGAAACTTTATAAGCACAATTTAACCCAACAAGAAAAGAAGAAAAGATTGAACAGAAATGTACTGTGCTACAATGACTGAAAAGCGTGGCGTCAAAATGAGCACTATGATAAAGAGAAGAAATTCATGTTGCTTGCAAAGGTTCCTTGCTTCTGCTGAAACAAAGATTTGCGAGACAAAATTGCTTATACACTAGGACTAGTGAACTAGTGAGACAGACAGAGATGTTTTATAGAATTTTACCCTGGTGGTCTGAACTTGGCTGGGACCAGGATCAGCTGCATTGCCATCCAGCTGTTCAGCCTGATAGTTCCTGGTTTCCATCTCCTGAAGCTTCAGCCTCGAAGCCTTGAGCTCCTTGTTCTTCTCATCCAACTCGTGATTCCTTTGTGCAAGCTGCTGCCTCGCCGTCGCGAGCTCCTCTTCTTTTTCATCTAGCTGTTGGTTCCTTTGTGCAAGCTTCTCCCTTGCGTCCGCCAGGTTCTCCCTCGCCGCCCCGAGCTCCCCTGTCGCCGCTGCTGTCAGAACCTCCAGGCGCGCCAAGGCGACGCCCCCGTGGCGCTCCCGCTCCACCTTCTTCTTCTCCTCGGCGAGGTCGCTGATCAAGCGCTTAATCTCCATGTACTCAAGCGCGACGTCCTTGTGGAAGTAGATCTTGGAGTCCACCAAAAGCTTAATCAGCTTCATGCGCTCACCCATGTCGTCGAACACATCGCGTGCATCATCGTCTCTCGCACTATTCTCCGCGCTCTTCATCTTTTTTTGTCTCTTTTTTGTTTCTTGAGCCCCCCTGCTTTCCTTTGTTTTGCTTTGCTTTGTACTGTTTTTTCCCTTCTATAAACAAACAGATTCTGTGAGCCAAATCTCATGCAATTTTGTAGTTTAGATGTCACTAAATGAACCAAGAGTATGCTATAGTAAGTTCAGCGAACAATAGTCATATGGTACACCTTCACTTTAGACCATTCAGAATTTCACCAGGGCTAAATATAGGTACATAATCTAGTTAGGCTGGCATGTTTATTAGATTACTTCCCAATTTTTTAAGATTTGAGCACGCACATCTCATTGCAGCAAACAGATAGGGACAAGACATTGTATGCTTTTCTATCTTATTAATCCGCTTGTGGAAATGTAGGGAGAAAAACCAAGGTCACATGGTGTTCAGAGAAGGTAACTATGACATTAGCACTACTGGCCTGAACAATTGTAGGATGCGAAGGGTTTCTAGAGTGCTTTCTAACATGTGTTTACCTAGTGATTACAAAGGCAGTCAACACCAAGGTTCTAGCACAAACAAAATGCAATCCAGCAAAATTGGCAATCAATCTGGGCATGGCGTTGTAGCAAAACCTCACCTTAGCAGAGGGGCAACAGGAACTAGCACCCACCAATTCGTTGCCTACACCCCCAGCCAACTATCAGCAGCCTGAGTCGACCTGCAGAGGAAATAATCGGGTAGGTGAGTAAGGGCATTTAGCATCACATAAACCAATCTGTAGCTGTAATCTGCAAGTGATGTGTAGACCATGAAGATATTGAATAGTGCGAATCCCTCACTGAACCCAAAGCGAACAAATGAAGGGCATTCAGAATGGCTGAGGCTCCAATGAACAAAATGCACACAAAAAATTGAAGGTGTTCTCTTTTTTTTGGCAATACAAAGCAACAAGATCAGATCAAATCATGTGCAGAAGATCAGAGAAAGAGATAGAACTGCAATGAAAGGGGGGAGACGAGATTTTTTTATTATTATTATTTTTCACCAAAGACGAACTGTAGAAAGTAAATCAACTGGGGAAAAGTTTGAATCACAGCATTGGTGAAGATCTGCGCTCTCAAGAAATGGTTACCTTTGACTGATTGAAACAAAAACATCCAAGAACCACAGCATTGCGGAAGATCTGCGCTCTCATGAAATGGCTACCACCCGAGTGGGCGGCGAGGATTCGGGAGCTGGAGCTCCGGGTGCAGCAGCTTGCCGCCGACAAGTACCACCGCCACCAGTAGTCAGTACTCAGTATATAGAAGGAAAATGAAGCTAACCACACTAACCACACTCTCGGCTAAATGGGCTCTAGTCCCGAATTTTTTATGCTGGGATTAGAGATATTTTAGTCTCGGTTGGTGGCTCCAACCGGGACTAAAGGTCCCCGCCCCAACGGCTACATCGCAGCAGAGAGAGGTGGTAGGACCTTTAGTCCCGGTTGAGCCACCAACCGACTAAAATAGTATACTTTTACTCCGGTTGGTGGCTCCAACCGAGTAAAGGTTCACTCCCGGCCGTCGCTGCGCCTGGGTTGAAAGTTATTTTAGTCCCGGTTGGATCCACCAACCGACTAAATGTTCTCCCTTTATAAATCGGGCCTCCTCCTTCCTCCCCCGAGCCCGAGCTCAAAGACATTTTGAAGCTCACCGCAGTAGTGTTCTTGCTTCCTCCTTCCTCCATTGTTCCTCCATCCATTATTCGATTCCTCCATCGATTTCTTCGATTCCTCCGCCGATTCTTCGCTTGTAAAGGTTACCAATCTCATACTCTCATTTTTCACCATTGTCTTATCTCATTTTGTTCACTATATATATATATGGTTCTTTATTTTGGTTTTTTTCATTTGTAAGCAATTTGAGCTCAAAATCACTTCAAGCTTGCATATTTACATGAAATAAGGTTAAAGTAGCTAGTTGAACTTGCGGACCGTGTTCATCTCGGCGAAAGCACGTTTTCGCCGCCGAAAGCGATAACGGACGCCAAGGAGGAGCTTTGATTCTACGAGGAGAGCGGCAATGGTCGTGGAAGACCGTGTTCCTTCCTCGTAGAATTGGAGCTCTTCCGTGGTCAAGCACGGTGCCGCCTCGTGGAGAAATGCTCGCCGAGATGATCACGTAAGCAAGGTCAACTAGTACGGATGGTTATTTATTCACATGTCCCGATATCGTCCGCAGAGTCCGTCAATCACCGTACTCCAAACGTAGTATATATATAAATATAAACTTAGAAAATAGTTAGAAAATTATAGAAAATCCATACTAGTTGAACTTGCGGACCGTGTTCATCTCGGCGAAAGCACGTTTCTTCCGCCGAAGCGGTAACGGACGTCAAGGAGGAGCTTTGATTCTACGAGGGAGAGCGGCAACGGTCGTGGAAGACCGTGTTCCCTTCCTCGTAGAATTGGAGCTCTTCCGTGGCTAAGTACGGTGCCGTCCGGTGGAGAAATGCTCGCCGAGATGATCATGTAAGCAAGGTCAACTAGTATGGATGGTTATTTATTCACACGCCCCGATATCGTCGTAGTAGTCTCGTTATGTGTGTACATTCCCATTCTTCTCGTTAATTTTATAAAATATCATATGAATTACTTACCGCCGCGCAAGAAAAGACGAGAACACAATGACCATTAAAAATATCATTGTTTAGAGATCTAGATAATTTTATAGTTTGTTAATTTTATTTGTTTATAAAAGAAGAAATTTATAGTGTATTAAAAATGAGTATAGAGAGTAGATGGCAATCGCTCGGTCCTCGGCCTCTCATGGGTTTCCAAAGCGATTTAGGCCGGGCCTTCCTCTCATTCCATGCGGCAAGTGTCGTGATGAGATGAAGATTGTGATGGAGTACCGAGTGAAGAAGGAGGGTCCCAACAAGGATCGATCTTCTACAAGTGTCCTGATCGCAATGTGAGTTATTTTATCGATTTAATGATTATGGTTAGTTTATACCTATTTTCATGATGGTTGTGATTAAAGTTCTAATTTTTGTTTTAATTTCAAAGTGGGATGGCAAAGGGATTATGTTCGTGCTTTCACGGGAGGAAGAGTATGTTGAACTCGTGTAAAAAATATCTTGCACAAAAAAGCAAGACATACGGCGGCTAATGAGGCGTTGATCCAAACCAAGAAGCCCAAAGATGTTGCACAATCGGGGATCTCGTCTGTTTTAGTTGAGATTGGTCGCAAATCCTTGTGCTCCTCGAAATGTATTTTAGCTTTAGTTCTTTTAGTGGTAGTTGGGATTGTCTACATTGTAGCGACAAGTTTAAATTTGTATCTTTTGTGGTGGCACGCATGTTGTATAAATAATTAATTATGATCTAGGTTTTAATATGATATTTATGTCATGTAATGCGATGAGCCGTCATTGGATGTATAATGTCGATCGCCGCCACAAGAGTTCATTGACGGCGTGCATTCTTTATTACGCAGTACCGAGACAAACAAACGCGACGGTTTCATGTGCTGCCCATGTGCCATATGTAAGAATACTTGTGGAATATCCTTGCTCAAGGACTCTTCATTCACACTTGTTCAAGTCGGGTTTCATGCCAAACTATATTTGTTGGACAAAGCACGGAGAAACCGTGTTGTAATGGAAGAAGATGAAGAAGAACAATGGGACGACAATGATATTATTCCCGATGGTGCGGCTTCAATGATACCGCAATGGGAGAAGTCAAGAAGAGGTAGTCGCAGAAGATGAGTCTGGTCGATGATCTTTTTGTCGTCATTCGTGATGCACAAAGAGAATGTGAAAGTGAAAAGGAGAAGATCAAGTTCGAGCGGATGCTAGAAGATCACAAGAAATTGTTGTACCCAACTTGTGATGCAGGCGTAAAAAGTTGGGAACCACACTAGAATTGCCGCAATGGAAGGCAAAGAATGGTGTATCCGATAAGGGATTTGGAGAGTTACTAAAATCCAAAAGAAGATGCTTCAAGTACAATGAATTGCCCGCCACTACCTACGAAGCAAAAACAAGTTGTCCGTCCTATGGGGCTAGAAATAGAGAAGATACATGCATGTCCTAATGATCGCATCCTATACCGTGGCAAAGAGTACGAGAAATTGGATGCATGCCCAGATGCCATGCGTCATGCAGTATAAGATCAAAGTAGATGACCCCGGTGATGTTGAGGGCTTAACGCCCACGTAAGAAAATCCTCGCCAAGGTTATGTGGTATGCTCCTATAATACCACGCTTGAAACGTCTGCTCGTAAACAAAGAACATGCAAAATTGTTACGATGGCACAAAGAAGACCGTAAGGTAGACAATATGTTGAGACACCCGCCGATGGGTCCCAAAGTGGAGAGCAATCGACAGAGAATTTTGAGTTTGCAAATGACGCAAGAAACTTAAGGTTTGCTTTAAGTACAGATGGTATCAATCCTTTTGGAGAGCGTAACAAGAGTCATAGCACTTGGCCTCGTTACTCTAAGTATCTACAACATTCCTCCTTGGTTATGCATGAAGCGGAAGTTCATTATGATGCCCGTGCTCATCCAAGGCCCGGCAACCCGGCAATGACATCGATGTGTACCGAGACCACTTATTGATGAACTTCTCATTTTGTGGAATAAAGAAGGTGTACGTGTGGGATGAGTACAAACAGAACACTTTGATCTCATGAAAGCATTGTTGTTCAGAATAATCAATGATTGGCCCGCTTCTAAGTAATCTTTCAGATACCAAACAAGGGATATAATGCATGCACACATCGCTTCGGTGATATTAGAGGTGTATTCTTGAAAAATGTCGAAAGGTCGGTACCTTGGCCATCGCCGATTTCTCCCCGCAAATCACCCCGTAAGAAAGAAAGGTAAGCATTTTAAAGGGAAATCGCACCACCGACCAAGCCTCGCGAACCGAACCGTGAGGATGTACTGATATGGTCAATGATGTGAAAGTCGTTTTGAAAAGGACATGGAAGCCAACCTATTCCGAAGACGCTACCTGGTCACGCACTCCATGTGGAAGAAAAGT